TTTTTTTTAAAAAAAATAAGACCTGGAAATCCGAGTACATTACGTACAGAATGCACCAACTTTGTAACAACAAATATATCTTCGTCGTGAGCCCATGTTTTGGATTGGGTAACTCCAGAACCACTTGGTCTTCAGTGCGCATGTCTTGGACAGCATCCATATAATTGCATGATTTTCTAACACATCGGTATAGTTTTATTGTATACTTTACATATAACGCACTTTTTAGTTACATTTATCTGAATGCAGAAACTTACTTAATTTAAACTAATGTGTAATGATATTTGTTATTACGAACGTGTGTGCTGTAATCTCCGTTGCAGCCCGATCACAACGACATCTGCCATCTATCGAGACGAATATAAACCACACGGCAGTAATTGAATTTTGAATGACGTAAACACTTCGTCGGTTCTAGCAGCTTCAGGCAGAGGGCAATGCGGTCGCATGCACTCACCCTGAATACATGGGAACAAAAGTGGTCTAACCATGTTTGACTTTTTCCTCAATTTTAATGAAGTCTTAGTTCGCTCACTGTTGCTCAAAGTTCTTGAGTTAAAGTGATGCTTTTAAATGACGTCAGATTCGAGACAAGTATCAGGCAGAAAGTTTCACAACGGTTTCAGTAGCCCATTGTTGTTGGTTTGAACATTTATAGTGATTTTTCTGTACGTTAGTGAAATTTGATCAGAACTTGCGTCTTTGTTTATAGGACACAGAACATCAATGTAGCGTTTATTTAAGACGAGTTTATCTCAGGTTAGGTTAGGTTAGGTTAGGTTTGGTCAGGTTAGGTTAGGTAAGGTAACCAGCTAGACAGGCTCATTCATGTGTAAGCTGGGTAAGTAAGGGAAATCTTATAATGAATTTGTGATGATTCATATTCGTACGTGTATAGACGAAGTCAAAAAGGGCCTATCACGTTTTATCAGTTTTTTAACAATTCACAAGACATTGTCAAAACGTATTGTAGTTATTATCGAAATGAGTGGGGTGCTCTACGACCAGTGGACGAGGGAAAAAGATTTTTCACAGTTTTCCTCTGTTACACGCGACTAACAAAATGGCTGTGTCGTTGTGAACCGGCCTCGGTTAGAAATATCCCTGACTTTCGTTTGCTGTTTGTTTGATTGTTTAGACATCGCCTAGTTCTCAAGACGAAAAAGGATCGACTGGTGACGTAAGTATTACGTAAATCCTAAGAGGTTGGTTTTGACGACTGAAGGAGCCCAACATCATCACGACACAGACTCACGAAGAGTCAGGTCTATTTAAGAAGGTTCAGAGGAATCTTAAGTTACAAAACCCGCCATATTTATTTAAATATGTATATCCTCTTGTAGTGCTGTCGTAATTTTTTTTTCAATATCAGAGATAAGAACGCGCCTTATATTTTGTTCAAAATTGGATTCAGTTAATGGGCTAACACTTTTAGATTGTAGATGCTGTTTACGTAACTTTGAAATTGGAAGAAAGACTAAGAATTGTACAGAGAGTGAAATGTTTTTGGTATTTTTTTTGTATATTTTATGGAATTATTAATTTTTATTTGAATGTAAGGAACTCGAAGTATTTTTTTCTCTCTTGATTTCGTCATGATTTTGATAAAACGGAAATGATAGCCCACACAGAATAGAAAGCCACGTTACAGCCAGGAATATCAAATTACGTGGTTTATACAGCGATATTCATTTGTTCTGCACTGATACGTGTTTGGGTATGCCACAACAGAGGGATGGCGGGAAATTTTAATGTAATTTCCCTCAGTGAAACATAATATTTACCTCTTA